TGACTGTGGGACTGGGTAAAGTGAGAGCATCCTTCAGGAGGCCTGGGCTTCAAGCAGTCTGAGGTTATATAATGGGCTTAAGAATAATTTTATGCAAAAACAATAAATACTGTACAGTGGGATTCAGATATTAACGTTTGATTCTGCCATACTGAGGAGCTGGTGCGTCCCTTGGCTGGGAGTAAATAAGGGCCACGCCTCTACCTGGATTCTCTTCTTTGGGACTCAGTCTGTTCTTGCTTCAGAGCTGTCTGTTTTGAGATTGTCACTGCCTTATGCTTGATTGTTTTATATCAACTGCATAGTCTGAGGCCTTCAAACGGACATGGTTCAAAGTTTAAAATTTAAACAGAGAGGCTTCATCAACTGTGCTCAAAGATTGCCTTTCCTTTAACATATTCTACTAAATCCAGGCTTTGCATTTTCCCTGAAATAGTAGGTATCTGAGTGGCTTTCTAATCTATCATTTGTAATTTTGTATTTTGCAATTTTCATTTTGCTCATTTTGTTTTTCATGTGCTTTGAGCTGTGGCAGGGAAGGACAGAATGACGGCTTTGGGCAAGGTAGAGGCGGCAATATGTTGTGAAACTGCATGAAGAAACCTTGGAGGGGAAGGGGGAATTTTAGGCCAGGGAAATGGGAGAACCTGTGGCAAACTATCCTCCCAGTTGGTATGTGTCTTCCTAGGTGGTCTTCAATGTAAGGAATACATAGATCCATGAACCGCCTCATGAGCAATTCCTTATTATTTGTATCAGTTTCCTAAGGCTGCCATAACAAAGTACCATTGACTGGGTGACTTAAACATCAGAAATTTAATTTCTCACAGTTCTGGAGGCCAGAAGGCCAAGGCAAGGTATTGGCAGGGTTGGTTTCTTCTGAGGGTTTCTCTCCTTGGCTTGTAGATGGCCATCTTCTCTCTATGTCTTCATGTAGCCTTCCTTCTGTATATGTCTGAGTCCACATTTCCTCCTCTTATAAGGACACAAGTCATATGACAGCTATGGGCCACCCAGCCTCACACTAATGATTTCATTTTAATTTAATTACCTCTTTAAAGACCCTATCTCAAAATACAGTCACATTGTGAGAAACTGGGAAGGTTAGGTCTTCAATATATAAATCTGGGGGAAACACAACTCAGCCCATCACATTGCCTAAGCTACCTTTCACCAGTAAAGGTAAAATTGTGTGTTTCAGTCTATTATTATTATTATTATTATTATTATTACTACTATTGTATAGTAAATGGGGCCTTTGTTCAATTCATTTGTTAAGCAAATTTTTTAAAAGCAGGGGGATTAAAGTATATTTCTGCTTTGTTGAGTATATAATTAGCATTAATTGTTTTAAAAAATTTTCTCTCTGAGATGCGAAATCTGATTTTCTGCCCAAATGCTATATGAACACATCACCTCATCAGTGATAGATAGTAAATACAATCTGTGTATTTCAGTATTCTTGAAGTCCTAGTTTGCAGACATTCCTGAAAATGTTATTTCCTACCAGGGCTTACAAACACAGTTTGGAAGTTAATACCTAAGATAGTTTCCAAACATAGTTTTCTTTCTATTGCTCTTATATCACCACTTCATTAACTCTCCAGTTTAATCTATACTTAAATTAAGTGTGGATCCCAGAGCAGTATAATCTAACAGTAGCTACCAACCTATTAAGTGTGACATTTATCATATTCTCAATATTTTGGCTTTCAAATCAGAAAGGAAAAGCCCCAAATTCATTACATTGGAATCCAGCATATAGAGGCAACTTGATTAAGTACAGTTCGAGTGTTTAACAGCTCACAGAGCTATTAAAATGAAGGATATTAGTAGTTAATTATATTGTTAATTTAATTTAAGCACTCACTTCTGGATTTATGGATGTTAATTGATTTATTCCTTGGGAGGATATGAAAACGTGATGCCTACCATGTGTTTTTACTTTTTCTGATTTTACACAAGACACTGGCAAACTGCTGTCATTGTTCTATTTGGAATTTGATTTGTAGTTGAGTTGGCAACTGGTAGTCTTTATGGCCTATACCTAACACAGAACATGCTCATTCAGAAAACCCATAGGTTATAAATCCAGAATGTTAAAGTGTCTCTTAGAGAAACAGTTAAATTAATTCTTGATTTAATAACATTCCCACAGCCAGAAAACTCATATGGCTTTGAGGTCAATTCCAAAAAGCTTAATATAAAACAGGATGATTCTCTTAATGAATAAGTACTTTTTTTCAGCATTAGAGGATTGGGCCGCAGTATTTCCAGAAAATGTCAACTATTCAGTAACCCATGCCTATATGGTCATTTATGACAAAGGAAGTAAGAATATACATTGGGGTAAAGACAGTCTATTCAATAAATAAATGGTGCTGGGGAAACTGGACTGACACATGCAAAAAAAAAGAATAAAGAAACTAGACCTCTTTCTCACTCCATATATAAGAATAAACTCAAAATGGATTAAAGACTTAAATGTAAGACCTGAAATTCCTAGAAGAAAACATAGGAAGTAAACTCTCATATATACCCTTAGTAATATTTTCACTGACATAGCTCCTCAGGCAATGGAAACAAAAGAAAAGAAACAAACAAATGGGACTACATCAAACTAAAAAGCTTTTGTACAACAGAGGAAACCATCAAAACGAAAAGACATTCTACTCAGTGGAAGAAGATATTTGCCAATGATACTCATACATCTAATAAGGGTTTAATACTCCAAATTTATAAAGAACTCATACAACTCAACATCAAAAAACAGTCCAATTAACAATTGGGCAGAGGGCTTGAATAGACATTTCTCCAAAGAGGACATACAGATGGCCAACAGACATGAAAAGATGCTCACCATCACTAATTATCAGAGAAATACAAATAAAAACCACAAGGAGATATCACCTCACACCTGTCAATATTGGTATCATCAATAAATAAACAAGTGTTGGCGAGGATATGGAGAAAAGGGAACCCTTGTGCATCATTGGTGGGATTGCAAATTCATGCAGCCACTGTGAAGAGCTGTATCGAGGTTACTCAGAAAATGAAAAATAGAACTTATGACCCAGCAATTCCACTTCTGAGTATCTATCCAAAGAAATCCAAAACACTAATTTGAAAATACATATGCTCCCAGATGTTCACTGCAGTGCTATTTATAATAGCCAAGATATAGAAGCAACCGAAATAGCAATCAATAGATGATTGGATAAATAAATTGTGGTACATACATACAATGGAGTATATTACTCAGCCAAAAAAATGAATGAAATATTACCATTTATGACAATATGGATGGACCTACAGGGTATTATGCTAAGTGAATAAGTCATACTGAGAAAGACGAATACCATATGATCTCACTTATATGTGGAAAATAAAGAACAAAATAAACAACAAAACAGAACAGATGCGCAGATACAGAGAACTAAATGATGGTTATTAGTTGGAAGGGGGGTCAGGGGGCTGGGTAAGAAAGGTGAAGAGATTAAGAAATACAAATTGGTAGTTACAAAATAGTAACAGGGATGTAAAGTACAGTATGGGGAATATAGTCAATACTATTGTAAAAACTATGTATAGTGTCAGATGGGTACTAGACTTACTGGAGGGATCATTTCATAAATTATATAAATGTCTAACCATTACACTGTACACCTGAAACTAACATAAAATGATATTGAATGTCAACTGTAATTGAAAAAAAAAAGTCATGGGGATGTAAAGTAACTGCATAGGGAATATAGTCAATAATATTGTAATAACTATGTACAGTGTCAGATGGGTAATAGACTTATTGAGGTTATCATTTTGTGAGGTATATAAATGCCTAATCACTATGTTGTTTTGTACTCCTGAAACTAATGTAATATTGCATTTCAAGAGTAACAGAAAAATAAATTTTTAAAAATCAAAAAAATAAAAGCTCTTTTGCTCTCTTTAAATTTTCCTCTTTTTATCTCTAAGCCAGTTGAATAATGGTTTATGATTTATTAGCATGGATTCAAGCCTAATATATCTCTTATATAATACATTCTAAATTTGCCTAGATGATATTAATGAGGAAGTGAAGTATCGACTATATCCTTCATTTCGAAAATTATGTGTCACTGAAATATGCAAACAACAGGCTCCATTTTAAACAAATTGCATTAGTTATTATTCTTTAATTGCATGAAGCAGAAACCAGCCGGAGGTAACATAGCTGAAAATGAAATGCGCAGAATCCAAGGGCAGAAATATGATCCGACTTCAGGAAGAGACTAGAACAGGGATTTGGAAAACATCAAGACTCTTTCCTCTCTGCTTTCCGATTCATCAGGTCTACGTACAGACTCTTTCTGCAGCCTTAATTCACTTGAAGGAATTCTTGAGTTTACATTTGCAGGTCCAGCCTCTCTCAGACATCAAGTGGCCATTCCCTAGTCCTAATTCCCAATTCCCACAGGAGAAAATCCGAGTGGCTTTGTTTAGGTTAAGCATCCTCCCCTGGTCCAATATTTATGGCTATGGAAGTAGGGTCATTGAATACAAATGTAGCCACCAGTACAAATATGTAATTTGGCTTAATAAATATGGCTAACTGCTGTGCTTGGGGCAGAGGAGGAAATCATTGATTGTGAATTGGACGACAACTTCAAGAGGAGTCCACTCAGAAACTCTTCCAATGCTTGATCCATTTCTCTCTATCACAAGATACTATAGTGTGAGGTAAAAAGTCCGCCCTATACAATGCTGATGTGATCTAGAGGGAAATTGCTCCAAAAACATCTAGTCCCACTGGTGTATGGCGTTGGGGACTGTACTGGTCACCTCTTTCTGCAGCACAGCCCGTAGAATTGCACTAACATGAAAATGCTTTATCTAAGTGACAAGCAAATGATATTGGGGAAACAATTGCAGCCAATAGTTTCACGCACATCAACTGAATCCTTAGGAAAATCCAAACAAAGAGCACAGTTTTTAATCATTTATCCTCTTTTTCTCTGCAGTATATCTCTTTGCACATCGCAGACTTGAAAAGTGAGCTGTTTGAGGAACTCCTGAAGCACCTTTGCCACTGTGCAGATGAATTCCGGGAGGTCATAAAAGCTGATATACGGAGGCAGATGTTTGCTGAGCTCTTCCTGCATTGTGACAGTGGGAAGGTAGGGTAAGACCCTTGAAGCCATGCTTCTCAAACTATTGGTTGTGAAGGACCAGTTTTTAGGTTGTTGTTGCCGATGATGTTTTAAATTTCCAATCTGTTGTGGACTGATACTCAGTGAAAATGGATTAGCAGGGGGATATAAAGGACATACAGAATACAACCCACATTTTTTTTAACAGATTCAAATCTGATTTATTACCTGTTACTTCCTCAAATTTCTATAACATTTTCTAGATGCTATTCTCAATTTCTGTACCTTTCTCATCACAGACTTGTACCAGCATGCAGACCACACCTTGCATGGCACAGCATTTCCCAAAGTATGACTTGTCTCTAAATCTCTTTCCCATGCTTAAGAATGGGTTGCTTAAGATTGTTTTTGTTTATGCTCCTTCTGGTGGCTTCCCATAGAAAAGAGCTGCTGGGAATAGAAAGCCTACCCCGTTTTAGTATGCTGTTTCTTAAAAACAAGAAAAGTTTATATCAAAAAGGATTTCTAAGAATGCTTTTGGGAGGATACTGGTATGCCAGGATACCAAATGGATTTGCAAAAATGGATACAAACTTTACTGATATATATTTGTTTACGAACTTTATTTGTTTGTATCCCCATGTTCCAGAAAAGATTTAAGGAAGCTTATCAGAATAGATAAAATGCAACAAAGGAACATGCCGTATTTGCCGGCGTATAAGACGACTGGGCGTATAAGACGACCCCCTAACATTTCCACTCAAAATACAGAGTTTGTTATATACTCGCCATATAAG